AAGTTCTATTTTCATTTTATAGGATGAGTTTGAGGGTTGAACTTATAAGTAATTTACTTTGAAAATAAAACCCTTAATCTTTTGGTGCCAATTATCTTAAAATTTATTCTCTAAAGCTCTAGAGGTAAAGCAGAAACCAATGACCTCAAGTTCGGAGGACTCTTTTTTAGAAGCATCCATAGCAGTTTAATGGATGCATAGAACCCCACTCCCTTTTCTTAGTGGAACACCAGAAATGACATCTGTCCTCTTTTGGGGATAGGTCAGTGGACTGTTGACACCCGTTACAGGGGCTAGGTATTTAGGAATCTGTCCTTCCTCCGATCTTTTCTATGTTCAGGGATTGAAGGGTATGTTTTTATGGCTTTGCCAGGGGGAAAATACAATTTAGGATCCTTGGAGTTAGGTGGAGGAGGTAAGACTTAGATTTAGAACACGGTGAGCATCAGAACAAACGGATGGGTGATGGTGCTGGACATGTTGGATGGAGTTAGTGAGGGCAGGTGATCGTGGTTAGGGACCAATGCCTGTGGAAAACAGGGCTTTCCACATGGCAAGAAGGTGAATTGGTGGAGTAGATGTGTTCTGGGGTTGGGAATGGGGGCAGGAAGATGGGCCCACGAAGGGATGGAATTGTTTATAGGCTCCTTAGCCCGCCAGCCTAAGACTGTCTTACTGGAGAGGGAGGTAAAAGTCCAGAGGAAGCAGCTAGAAACCAAGTCCCATGCAGGTGCTTTGTAAGCTATCCATGAGGTCAGTGTTAGCTGCTGCTGCCTCTGACAGGGTTTTTGAAGCTGGGACTGGGGTTGTTGAAGGACAGTTTTTTTTTTTTTTTTTTTTTGGCCTGATGGATCTCAGGGCCATGAGGTTTGATGAGTTGGGAGTTTGATGAGCTGGAAGCACAGAAATCTCCTAGGAGAAGATGTCATCTGTCTGGGTGGTAGTAGGTGGCTAGTCTGGGGTGGGGCAGCAGGAGAGGAAAGGCAGGCAAGGATGAGAGGCAGAGGCTCCAAAGGAGGAGATGGCTGGGATTTGCTGCCAAGGAGGCAGAAGTCAGGCAGGAACCCATTTGGGAAATGATGGAACCGTTTACATTCATGGGAAGTGAGTGAGTCAGGACTGACTGGAGGGGTGATAAGAGGTTCTGTTTCTAGAATAATTGTGTCTAACATTTATTATGTATTTTCTACGTAATAGAAACAGTTCTGAGTGCTTTGTATGACAGCCTTATGAAATAGGTTCTGTTGCTGTCCCTACTTTGCAAATGAGGAAACCAAGACAGAATTGATTAGTAACTCGCCTCAGGATCACACACTTAACTCCTTGGCAGAGCCAGGATGCAAATCTAGAGTCTTAACTCCAGAGCCAAGCTCTTACTGAGTATGCTCGACCATCTCAGTGTGAAAGCCAACATCTTCAAAGTGCCCTGTCCTGTCTTAAGCTCTTTGCATGGATTTGTCACATTTGATTCCCATAAGGACTCTATGAGATGAGGGTATTTTTATCATTTTCCAGATCTGGAAACTTGGTCACAGAGAAGTAGAGTGGCCTGCCTTTGAGGTCACGCAGCGAGGCTTAGCTTCCATTGGTTACGGTCCTTCTCCAGAAGTTGGCGATGGTTATTCAGCTGGATTGTCATAATACCTATGGCCCTTAAGATCCCCTTCCGAGAAAGCTAAATTGATTGAAGTGTTTTGAAGTATAAATTCTTTAAGGATTTTTGGATTAAATTTTCTGTCAACGTCACTGCTATTCCCTTGCAACAACTCCCTTTTTAAAAGGGGATAAATAATTGACATAATAGTGTCTCCATTTATTGCTGTGCCCATTTTCATTATTTAACACTGCATATGACTTTGAAAACAATCCCAAGCACTTCGTTTCCTATTCTGGCCCCCTGCATTTAGATGCTGAGCCCAGCAAGGGACAGATGATCTTGCCTATAGCCCTTCATGTGTTATTGGTGCTTAATAATGTTTGATGATTGTAATCGACCTTGTTGTTACCTTCTGCGAATCGAGGTTTGCTGAGTATCTTCAATCTGGGGTGTACTTGGCATGACCTCACGGAGCTGCAATTGAAGCCATGGTTGAAAGGTGCCCAGATGAAATATTGGGTAACAAATTGGAATGGAGACCAGTCATCATCTATGTGCACCTGCAGGGGATGGTTTCACTGCTGCTCTAGAGCATCTTTGGTGTGTCCCTCTCCTCTTCTGTCCTCACGTGTCAACAAGTCTCATCTGGGACTTTCTTTCTTTCTTTTTTTTTTTTTTTTTTTTGATTTTTATTTTATTTATCCATGAGGGACACACAGAGAGAGGCAGAGACACAGGCAGAGGGAGAAGCAGGCTCCATGCAGAGAGCCCGATGTGGGACTCGATCCCGGGTCTCCAGGATCACGCTCTGGGCCAAAGGCAGACGCTTGACCACTGAACCACCCAGGCGCCCCTCTTCTGGAACTTTTCACCTCATTTGACTATAGATCTGTTTCTGTGCCTTCCTGTGCCGTAGCTTCTCACAGAGAGGTCTACATGTAGAGCCTCTGACCTTGGGAACACACGGAAATTCCCACTCACCTGAAATTGTACTCTTGCATTTCCTGCAGTTTCTTTCTCACCAAATAGATTTGGTTTGTTCCCTTGGTCACTTTTGTTCATCCTCTTGATCTCGCTCAGCATCTGCCCTAGTCCCCACCACCTTCTCTTTGAAACCTTCTGATGTGTTGCCTTCCCCTCCCACCCTCTTCCTTTCTGGTGGTGGTTTTGTTGTTGTAGCTTGTTCATTGTTGTTTGACTTTTAAATCTCAAATCTATACCCTCTTAGCTGGAAGAGCTCTTCAAGATTGGTATTTTGTGTGTGCCTCTTTTTTCCACAAGTCCTCACCCTTGACTATCTGATCCTGCCTTTTTTTTTTTTTTTTAAGATTTATTTATTTGTTTATTCCTGAGAGACACACAGAGAGAGGCAAGACATAGGCAGAGGGAAAAGCAGGCTGTCTGCGGGGGAGCCTGATGCGGGACTAGATCCCAGGACCCCAAGATCATGACCTGAGCCAAAGGAGATGCTCAACCCCTGAGCCACCCAGGCGTCCCCTGATCCTGTCTTTTAACTTCACACGTTATTTGCTCTTCCTCCACCATATGAAATGCAGGTCATAAGGTGAGAAGTCCCATCCACTGGCCCGGGAGCCCCTGAGAGCAGGGCTCTTGGCCCTCCTGGCCCCACACGTTTCTGATCATGTCTCCCCACCCCCAGTCATGCCAGACTTGGGGAGAGCTTCCTGGCGTGGCTTACCTGCTGCCTTTGCCTCCCACCTGCTCCTTTCTCCACCTGGATTGGAGGATTTTTACTCCAACATCAGAACTCAGGTCGCTTCTTGTCTCCGACCTTGTATGTGTGCGGAGGGGATAGATATGCCATTTTGCCTATGACCCTGCAGAAGTGATTGAAAGCTCCCTCCTCCTCCACACCCCCAGGGGGGAGTGCTGTTATCCTGTTGCTCTAGCCTACCTCACCCGGGACCCTTTCTTCCCACTCACTCACCCAGGTCGAATGTGAGTCAGTCTTTGTAGTTTTAATTACACTAGAACCATTAATGTGTTTTTCCTCTGATGGTATAATAATGCTCCTTTAGTCTCAGATCCTTACTGTAGGTCTTATTCCTTCTGCCAACCTCTGAGGACTGGAGCTCTTCACTGAGTTCCTTGAATCTGGAAGATCTCGGTATCTTACTGTGCATGTCACTTTTCTGCTGGAAAATATCGAGTGTCTCTGCATGGTCTGTGTGGTCTCTGTGGTATACATCTACGGCCCATGTCTGTCTTCTCTTTCACCTCTTCTGATATGGTCAAGGTCCAGCCCACCTCTTCCTTCTTCTTCAGCTTGAAGCCAGAACAGCTGCGTTTCACTTATTGTGACATGTGAGTAGTGCATTCTCTAAACTCTGGTGTGCGTGTAAGAACCAGGTGTTGCACTTATGTGGACGTTTCCCCAGCACCCAGCTCGAAGCTTTTGCAGACCATGAATAAGGAACAGGTACATTTGCATTCATGCAATAGATGGATGAATGAATGAATGAATGAATGAATGAATGGACTGCCATGAATTTTCTAAGCTTCAAGTTTCATACTCCGAGTCTAAAGTTTGCATCTTTATATTAAGAAGCCTATTTAGGCATTAGTTTGATTAGGCTGCAGTCCAACATATGTCATGAGATATGTCATGGTCTGATTTTTTTTTAAAGATTTTATTTATTTATTCATGAGAGATACGGAGAGAGAGAGAGAGAGAGAGAGAGAGAGAGAGAGAGAGAGGCAGAGACACAGGCAGAGGGAGAAGCAGGCTCCATGCAGGGGCCTGATGTGGGACTCGATCCTGGGTCTCCAGGATCACGTCCTGGGCTGAAGGTGTGAACCACCCGGGCTGCCCTCATGGTCTGATCTTTAAAATGGGATTTTCATGTGCTGCCTTATTATTTGAGACTCTTAAATAGTTCTCCTTTTGGGGAACATCACCGTATAAGGAGAATTTCACACAAATAACTGAATTCACAGCCAACCCATGTCATGGTCATGTACATTTTGCCAGAAGAGTAACAGGCCAGTAGGTTTTTTTGTTTGTTTTTAATAGTGTGGGGTTTTGTTTTTGTTGTTTCTAAGCAGGGTGTCAGCATGTCAGTACCATTTCGATGGCCCATATTCAGAGTGGAAACTTGACCCAGCTGTGTTTTTCACCCAGAGAAGGGCCATGCGTGGCATCCCGCGAGGATGGCTTGCATACCAAGTGTGACCCTCAGGATTAATGGAGAGTTGCAGAAAATAATTTTCTCGATGAACTTAAGAAACTTTAAACAGAACTCTTTCTAACTATAAATAGTGGGGCAGCTTTGTCCTATTTTTATTATAGAGCGCACAGAAGATGGAAATCAATATTGGAAGAGTTGCTTTATTTCGCCAAGGAAAAGATCATACTCAACACGATTCTTATTTTTCTTGGCAGGCTCTTCTCAACCATCTGTGAGTCCAGGGGAACCGTCTTTCCCATCCATCCATCCAGCAAAATCAGAGTTAATAGTCAGTGTCGGCGACGAGCTTAGGCTGTCCTGCACCGATCCAGGATTTGTCAAGTGGACTTTTGAGACCCTGGGCCAACTGAATGAGAACACACACAACGAATGGATCACAGAGAAGGCAGAGGCTGGCCACACGGGCAATTACACGTGCACCAACAGAGATGGCTTGAGCAGGTCCATTTATGTGTTTGTCAGAGGTAAATGTGTGGCTTTCTTTCATGCTATGCTTTAGAGAACTTAATATCCTGTTCTTAATTATGGATGACATAGAGATGGCTGAGCCATAGAGAAAATATGGCTAGGTCTAGAAAGCCTAAAACAAAATTTTCTTTGTTGGTCTCCCCCCCCCCCCCGGCCCCATCTCTTGATACATCGTGGCTGTGGGTATGACTTCAGCTGAAGGTCTGTGAGCCTGCGCTGCTCTTCCTAATGAGATTACAATATGGTTAGCCCATTTGTCCTGGCACTCTGAGTAAACCCTGAGAATAAATTAGGCCCTTTGGGAAAGCTGCATTTTAATGCCTTGAGATCCTAGATACTCCCACTTAGTAAAAACACTTCAGGGAACGAAAGGCCTCGGAAGGCCCAAACAGACCAACACTTCAAAAAGAATTGACCCACTTTTAGGGAGCAAATTCCAGAAAAATAACCCAGTCAGCTAAATCACCCCATGTCCCTCTTAGGTTCTTTAATAGTTGTCAGTTGATTCGTTTAAAAAAAAGAAAAGAAAAAGAAACAAAGAACCAAAACAAAATGGTGACCTTTTTAGAAACAGAAGAAAAATATGATTGTTGGATTTCCGTACCTCATTTCCTATGATAAACTCGGTGATTCGCCTGTGTTTGCTTAACATCCTTGTCAAGAGGAGGTTTGCTAATATATGGGAGGCAGGAGGCTCTTTCTGTTGATGTAAAAACAAGTACTTTGAGCTTTAGGAGACGCATCCTCAGGTCATAGGAGGAAGAATAGAGTCCCGGTTCTGCCTCTGAGTTTCTGTCCAGTGAAAACGGGACTACGTAGGAGGCCTCATCCACAGTATTGTGGGGGAATAATGAATACATCTGTCCTAGATTGCAGGTCTGAGGGACCTCAAGAGTTTCGGTTTCTCACCGGAACACTGAGAGTTTCCTGCTTTGTCTTCCTGGTGTAATTGTTGTCGTTCAGGAGACCAGAATCGTGCAAATTCTAGCTCTCTCAAGGGTTCATAAAGTTGACTCACCTTGTGTTCGCTGTAGGGAAGGTTGCCTCTCCTTAGTGTATCTGTTATTCTCCTACGTGGGTAAACTGAGATCTACCCATTGATAAGGCACAGCTTAGCCTCTGGGTATGTTTCTGTAATTGTGGAGGTATCCTGTGTGCTGGTCATTGGAATTCGAGAAGATACTCTAATTTCCAGGTGGTAATGAAGTCTCATTCTGCATATGAATACAGTGGGTAGATGACTGAATAAATGGGGGGAAGCTAGTAGCCAAGTCAGTCTCGGAGTCAGTCTCGCAGAGTTCATGGATTTTTTTTTTCTTTTTAGAAGGGAAGTCTTCCTCAATAAATCAGAGCTATCAGAGCTACACTAAACTACTGATTTGAGATGTTTTGGATACTTGAGTAGTTTATGTTACAGCAGGGAAGGAGATTGGGGCATTGTAGGAGCCGGGTTCCAGCAACTGAGAAAGAGTAGATGGAATGATAACCAGCAATGGCTTCGGACCTCAGTTCTATCCTCATGAGGTGCTTTATTCATGGAACAAAGGAGTGAGGCTGGGACATGCGTAATTATTCATCCTAGAATTTTTTTTTCCTAAAATTAAATGGTAAATCTATTTCACCAATGTCAAATTGATTTTTTGTGGGACACCAAGTTCCAAGTGGAATGGACAATGAATAAAGAAATTTTTTAAAATTTATTTTATTTTTTTTATTTTTGTATATTTTTTATTGGAGTTCGATTTGCCAACCTATAGTATAAAACCCAGTGCTCATCCCATCCAGTGCCCCCCCCAGTACCCTTTAAAAAAAACAAACAAACAACATTTTAAACATGATCTGTTGGCCCAACCGTCTATCTGTATTATCTTTACATGGTAGGGGTGGCCGCATATTGTGTGTACAGAATGAGGTTTGTCGTTGCTTATAGGAGGTCCCAGTCTGCCCGAGGCTTTTCCAGTCCACACCTGGTGTCCTGGCATAATTATTAATAGCACTCCCCTTCACTCACAAGTGTCCTGGTTCGGATGATGAAGTATTTGCCACAGCATTCCCGAAACTCATAAGACCCCCCTTGGGAATATGGCTTCATTTGATTTCCAGAAGTTTATGTTTATACATATCTTTCAAGAATTAGGAAGAGTGGGGCCCATGATGACATTTGTACAGGGTGGCCGGCTGATGGTCTCCCAGGCTCTATGCAGAAGCTGAAAGGTCCTGGCCACTGGGAGTTCTGGAAAGGCCCCCGCCCCACCACCAGAAGGGTAGAGAAAGAACACCTTTCCCTGACCCTAATGGGTATCATCACACAGCCTTAGTCTTAGCCCATGCTGCTTGAGTATTCCCTGTTGTAGAAGAATAGTAACTATTGTAGTAAAATACCCTCCGAGTTTTAGGGGCTCAAATCGTGGTATCAGTTGGACAGGGATTTGAGTTCCGCTCAGCCATTTCTGGGCCATGTCACTTTTTTAGGAGAGTCACTTTTGAGACTTCAGTTTCTTCACCTCTAAAAGGGGGGGGGGGTAAGCATAGTGCCCATCACATCACGGGGGTAAGCATAGTGCCCATCACGTCGGGGTGCTTCGAGGATGAGATGAGCTAAAGTGTAATGGTCCGAGCTTAGTGTCCGACACATGGGAAGTGTATAACAAATGTTAACTGTTACTCGATTCGTAGTATTTGGATAAATTCTACTTTTGCTTGCAAAGAACGAACAAAATGCGGAGTCATCCGTGATCTTTTAAAATGTTCTCGGTGCCTGTGGCCTGCCATTCAGACGACTGATTTTTGATATGCTTTAGATCCTGCAAAGCTTTTCCTCGTTGACCTTCCCTTGTATGGGAAAGAAGGCAATGATACGCTGGTCCGCTGTCCTCTGACGGACCCAGAAGTGACCAATTACTCCCTCAGGGGGTGCGAGGGGAAGCCTCTTCCCAAGGACTTGACGTTTGTTGCTGATCCCAAGGCTGGCATCACGATCAGAAACGTGAAGCGCGAGTACCATCGGCTCTGCCTGCACTGCTCTGCGGACCAGAAGGGGAGGACGGTGCTGTCCAAGAAATTTACCCTGAAAGTGAGGGCAGGTAGGGGCCCTTTCTCTCTTTCTTGTGGGGAGGCGGAGCATCTGTTGATGGAGGGGTGACTTGTCTCCTCTCCCTGGTCTGTCGTACTCTCAGCGGTCAGGTGGCTGGCTCTTCATCACTTTCCCCAGCTCACAACTACTGTCAGTGGCCGGTGGATTCTTTGTTTCGTAGCCCCAAGCCCCACACCACCAATGCACGGCGCCACCGTTGGCAGGTGCATCTGCCAGAAACCGGTGTGTAGACCCTCCCAGGGACAACTGTGAAACCTCACAACATCAGGACACCCAGAGTTTCATAACTGCATGAGGTGTGCTTCCAAGGGAACCTCACTGGGGAGCTTTGATTCCACTGTTGGGAAAGATTAGCATATACATTATTCACCCCTTGATTTACTGTTGATAGAGGAATTGAGTTTCTCCTCAGCGATTTGATTTTAATGCATTCCCAGACTTATTCCCAGTCTGAGGAGGAAAGCACCAACAGAGTATGGCCCTTGTTATCATCGTGGCATTATGTTGATTAAATTCGTAGCTGGAAGATGTCTGGATTTTTGTGTCTCCGAGCTCATCAAATTCAACACCGGGTGACATTCTGCTACGGAGGGGTTTTTATGAAGGCTTTTGAAAAAGGGTGCTCATTGGGATTAAGGAAAGTTTGACTATTTAAAATGGAGATTTTTCAGAAATGAGCAAGATATTATTACTACGGCACATGGGAAAGATGCCTGTTTGGTTGAAAGAATATAATTAGTCGTAGGTCACGTCCTCATGAAACCATCAGGGTTAAAGCCACTTTCCCTGTGCCAGGGCTTCTACCTGTTTCAAAATAGCTTTGGCCAGGAGCATTATCATCTCAAAGCAGACATTCCTATTTTTTTCACTCAATATTAATGAATTTGCTTGAAGGATGCAAGATTTAATTGCTGATGTCTTCAGATAGGCAAGTAATACAGATTGATTAGTACTTGAGATTTTATTTAAAAGATGGCCAAATAAGTTGGGTGCATTTGAGGAAAAGCAGTAGGTGACAATGGCATATGATCATGGAACAAATAATTTGAGGGCCACGTTTCTTCTTATTCTAGCCATCAGAGCTGTACCAGTTGTGTCAGTATCCAAAACAAGCTCTCTCCTGAAGGAAGGGGAAGCCTTCTCTGTGATGTGCTTTATAAAAGATGTGTCTAGTTTCGTGGACTCGATGTGGATAAAGGAAAACAGCCAGGTAAGTGGCTTGTTTCCTTTGTTTTTCTCAATACATTGTTCTCTCTGTGGGGGACATTTTAAGGTTTTCCCCTTAAAACAGTCTATTAATTATCCTGGGGATGGCTCAGCTGGTGTGTCTGTCTGAGGTGGGGCTGTCTGGGCGTATGTCGAGATGCACATTTCCCCCTTTCGTAACACCATATGTGGATGTGTATATTCATTATTAGCGACAAATACGTGTCATTTTGTAAATTTATTTTGAGAAGACCGAAGAGAGAACTTCGGACTCCTGTTCTATACCGTGTGCTGTTTCTTTGACTTTTGTAGGGAAAATTTTAAGAACACTTCTTGTTAGCCACGTACGTTAACCTTGATTTTTAAGACTCTTAAAATTATCCAGGCCAGATGATTTAAAATATTGGGAAAAGTTGTCAATTTTTTTCCCCCTTCCATATTTAAAAACAGTCAATGATCTCAGATACTAACCGGGGCACTCCCTCCTTTCCCACAAAGTGGCCTATCCATTTGAGAGCTGTGTTTCCTTTTTTATTGATCTGACTTCTCCCCTCTGAGGCTGGTTACCTGAGATCAAGTTGCTTATGGTTTTCTATTTGTTTTAGTCACTATTAATAAAATGGTTATCTTTAATCTGAAACATTTGGACATGTTTAAGTTCTCATTCATTTAACAAATGCATATTGAATGTCTCCTATATGTCAGATACTGTGGAAGGCATATCTTAAGTAAATTTTAGCCAGTTATATGAAGTTTTTTTTCCCTCTCTCTCTCTAAATAATCATTAATAGCAAGGTCTTTCAAATTCTAATTTCCCAAATATTTTGCTTTAAAATTCCCATCGACCGAATTTTCAGTAATTTTTATTTGCATAATCTTGGCCATCTAAGGTAATTTGCTATCACAGTGGTTTTTCTTCAGAACACATATATGCATTACATGGGAGGAAAGAAATGATATATTTTCCTCCTCCTCTTCCTCCTCTTCTTCTTCCTTCTCATGCTCTGTATTCAACATGGGCAATTTCATGCCTCTTTAAAGAATTCTTTGCTCCATAAGTAACCATGGTGATTAGCATAATGCAAAGTACTATGATGGTATTCACATAGACTTGTGATGGATGATACCTTGCTAATGAAGCCTGCCATTGACTAGAGAATGGATTGTACTAGAGTCTTGTTCTTTCAGACCAGTGGCTTAAAGAAACAAGTTTTAGTTTCCATATCATATAATTTAATAAAAACAATAGCTTATGTATGGATTTTTGACTAACCCTACAGAACGCAATCCTATATTAATTGGCTTTCCATAATCCTTGATTTCAGATGAGAGAACAGTTTAGACCATGTGTGTATTTGAGCCTCTGTATAACTTGAAAATTAGCCTTTTTTCATGAGAAATTCAATTGCCCCAGGCAGTTTTGTTCTGAACCACTTTTCCCAGGAGTCCTGCATGCCATTCCCAATTAATCCACTGGCGCTGCTAGATAAGCTTTCAGTGTTGGGAGCTCTTTGGGGAAATCCCAGTGTGCACCTCAAGGGTTAAGGAAAACCAAATCACATGCAAACAATATGTAATGTGTGACTTGCAGATGGGGCTCGTGGCTCCATGCCAAGGTTCATCCATGAATCTTTTGTTGATATCCTTTGGCTTCATTCGGAATACTTAGCAATGTGAGCGCTATCAAATTATCTTAAAAATTCCTGGTATTTGATTCTGGCCGTTTAGAATAAGTTTAAAACTCACAGAGAAATTTAGGATAAAATGAGTATTCTAGAGTTTTTGCAGTTGTTTGTTTTAAACCCTAAGAGAGTCTTGGAGTTTATTCAACACTTGTGAATCTTGGTTAGCTTTCCTAGTGCCTCTAAACCCTTGTATTTTTACTTTTAATTATGTTATTTGACATCATCCTGAATTAAGGTCTTTGGGTTTAGGTGTTGATATTGTATCACATAGGACCAAGCTATTCCTTCATGCGCTGACATGTGTTCATTGTTCCTGGTTAGCTCCTTGTTATAGACCCTTGGGCTACATATATCTATACCACAAATCTAGAATGTGGTATGTTAGCTGTCTGTTGTTACTCTGCCTTTGCAGAGAAGTCTGTGACCTGGTGGACTGGGAGAGGACAAAACAGTGTCCCCTCACCTTGCTACTGCATCTTCTTGATTGCTCTTCTGCAGTGAAATGGCAGATTTCTGCCAATTATTAGAAGAATCTCTTGGAAGAGAGTGTCTTCATATCTGCATTGTGCTTCAAAATGAAAAGGCCTTTAAAGACCTCTGCTTTCTTATTTCCTTTTATTTATTTGAGAGAGAGAGAGAACAAGCAAGGGAGGGAGAAACAGAGAAGGAGAGAGACAGAGGGAAGAGCAGACTCCTGCCGAGCAGGGAGCCCAACGCAGGGCTCCATCTCAAGACCCCGAGTTCATGACTTGAGCCAAAGGCAGACGCTTAACCTACTGAGCCACCCAGCCCCCCCCCCCGTCTCATTTCCTTATAGAAACAAAAGCTGAGACTAGTAGTATCCTTGACTTGCTCAAGATCTCACAGTTAGTTAAGAAAGCAGGTTTCTCTTCTTTTTATTTCAAAACATTCCGCTTTGGCAGTCTGCTCTTATGTATGCTCACTTTAATGTAAAAAAAATTTCCAAAAATATAATAACATGAGGAAAAAAGAAACAGATATAATTCCACCATTGCATGTTGTAGTGCTATGCAATGGGAAATAAAATGTGAGCCTCCTGTGTAATTAACATTTTCTAGTAGGCACATGACAGAGTCAGAGTAAAATCGATACATTTTATTTAACCTAGTATAGCCAAAATATTATCTTATCAATGTAATTAACATAAAAAATATCAATGGGTTATTTTGCACTACTATTTTTCATATTAAGGCTTCAAAATCTGGGGCATACTTTTTATTTATAACACAAGTTGGACCTCAAGCATTCCAAGAGCTCAGTATTCTTTGTGTGTCTGGTCTTTATAAATACTATATTGCCCACTTTTTTTTTCATATTTCTTTTCCCTCTGCTCCCATGCATATGTATTACCACATGTTTGCAGTTTTAAGGTACACTTGGTTTATGCTTATTAAGTAATATGAACCTTTTTCTTATTTTCACATTTATAATTTTGATACTTGGTATACATTTAGGTCATCTCTGAGATTTCACTGCAGTAAATATTTTGAAGCTTTTTAAAAAATTGAGTTATTTCCTTGAGATAAGTTTTCTGGAATTGATCAGGGGTCTGAACAAACAGCCAAATTGCTTTCCACAGGGATTGTTCTGATTTACAATAGTGTCAGAATGGTCTCATGCTAATAGGTTGACCATAGCCTGGCCAGCGCATTACCATCTTGGTCTCGTTTCATGTCAATATCAGCTCCTGTTTCTTTTGTTTGTTTGTTTGTTTGTTTTTCAGTTGTTATTTTTTTCCGTAGGAATGTGTTCATTTTACCGAAAATTTGGAAGATGCAGAAAGCTCTATAGTACTCCCTCTAATATTTTCAGAGTGACTATAGTTTATGTTATGTTTTATTCCCATGATGTTTTCCATACAAGAAATCTCTCTGTGTCTTGTCTGCAGGCAAATAATACGAGTAGAATGGTGATAGCACAAGAGTAAATTTGCAACTTTTTCTCTTCCACTCATGCTTAAATAATTTGGGGTTTGGTCTTAGACGTCTCACATACTTTGGAACTCTTTTTAATAGTTGCCAAAATTCTACTGGATGAGAACTGTAGGATGAGTCTCCAAGTTAGTTTTAGACATTGTGGTTCAATTTTTATTCGTGAAAATAATATAAATGTTAATAAAATAGAATATTATTATTAGTGATGTGTTTTCTTTCAATCACTGGGATATAGAGATAATGATATGACCTAACTATGAACAATTGGTGTCGCTTTTTTTCCCCTACTCTGGAAATCTCACTATTTATTTTCTAAGATCTGCTTAATGACAGCAGAATGTAGTGAATGTACTGGATGTTTTTGATTAACTGGAAGATTTGAGTTCTTGATATGACCTAACTATGCTGACTAAATGTAAAGTATCAGTATTCAGTAATATTTCTTATATAGTAACTTCTAAAATTTGGCACGTTAAAATATTTAGTGCTGCAGAGAATTTGGAATTATGTATGCCATGGTTATTATGAAATGAATTTTCATGTTTTTTCCAATCATTAATAATGACTATCTTTCAATATAATCCTGTAATATGAAGTGTTCCAATGACAGACTTGTCATGATGCTTTATTATTCTTACTTAAGTAGTGTATAATGAATGTTAATATGGAGAAGTTAATTGCTGCTATTTTTAATTTATCTAGGAAAGATCCTGAATATAAATTTTATGGTAATCTTTGATTTTTTTTTTCTCTCTTTCCAAAACCAGCAGACTAATGCACAGACACAGAGTAATAGCTGGCATCACGGTGACTTCAATTTTGAACGTCAGGAAAAGTTGATTATCAGCTCAGCAAGAGTTAATGATTCTGGAGTGTTCATGTGTTACGCCAATAATACTTTTGGATCAGCAAATGTCACAACAACCTTGGAAGTAGTAGGTAAATATCTCTATCAGAATGTATAAATTATTGGCAGTAGTGAAAGAAGAAATTGCTAGATAGCTTCCTTTTTATGTTAATAGAATGTTGAAGAGATTACTAGAAATTTAATTGTCACCACATGAATGAATGAATGAATGAATGAAAATGATCACTGTCGCCTTTTCCAACCAGAGCACAAAAGCAAATTCCACTAGTTTAATAAAGAGGAAGTGGAAACTTGTAACTGAAGTTGTTTAAATGGGTCATTTTCTCCCATCCCCCCCCCCCACTAAACAAATAAGATGTTAAGTGGAACTTTTTTCAAAAATTCGAGTCTTTACTGAATGACTCGAGTTTAGAAATGGGTGTGGACTTTCTCAGTGGAGGAGTCCAGATGCTGAGAGCCTGAAGTAGTTCTCTGAATCTTTTAGGGGGGCACCTGAGCCTTTGGTTTATCTTTTTACCACTCATGGGTCTAGTTCATTTGTCACAGGAAGGGCTGAGTTGGGCTGCTTCTTCCTAGGACACCGCTCACTTTACCCCATCCTCCAGCCTTGTAGGCCATAGTGTGAACCTTCAGGAAGGAGGTCCCCTGGGGCCTGAATCATTGGTTCTGCACAGCATAAACTGGGTCATGTTACCCTATAATCCTAACCCCATCATAGCTGGTATGCACAAGTGGTTTAGTTTCCTTCCCTACTCTGGAAATCTCACTAAATATTTATTTTCCAAGATTTACTTAATGGGAGCAGAAGGTAGTGAATGTACTGGATGTTTTTTGATTTACTGGAAATAATAGTAATTTTTAAATTGCTTTATTTACACATTTTTTTGTTTTGTGAGTATTGTTTGAATTTAATCTCTTGTGTTTTTTTTTTTTTAATGCAAGTACAGTCTCTGTGCTTGACTTTGATTAAGTACTGGTAGGGTGGCAAATTTCTTCATCATGAGCAATAATAAAATGATGTGATATTTGTTTTCATTTCTCCTCTTCCCCCATGTTTCCTCAATAATTTATGAAGCAGTGTTAGAGGTCTGTGATTTATCCCACAATAATCTCATATAATTTTGGCATTTCTGCCCATGTTGTAATGGAAAGCATCTCACCAGACTAAACGTGGGAAACACGCTTTACTTGCAATGATAGAACCAGCATGCAGAAAGAGTATTACTTTTTCCCTAAACGTGATTGTGAACCATTTATTAATTTGAATGGAAAGCTATGCTTTTAAAATATTAAACTCCATAAGTGCTAATTTGCTAAGTTGATTAGGGAGCATGTTGATATATCAGCTTCAGCTCCAGAAAGCAATTAGTAAGGATGTTTTGAGCATATTATTGTATGTAATCAGATTTTTAAAATCCATTCATCAATTTCCAAGAATATAACTGTGTAACTGGAAAGGCTTGTGGCTCTGAAACCTGAATCTGGTTTTTTATTGTTTTGGGGTGGGTTGGGATGGGACACGAACAGGAGGAGACAAAGAGAAAAGTAATTTCTTTGGGGGCTGGGAGTAGGAGAATTTGGATACCATGTGGAGTGGCTTTGGGATGGTCCCCACCTGGTTTTAAGTTGGGGCCGTGCCACCCAACTTTTGAATGCACCCTACTTTAACTCTACCTGCATTTTCTCTTATGAGAAACCCTACCTCTAACTCCAGAGGTTATAGAGAGGAGAAAAGGCAATAGATTTCATAGAAGAACCTCACATAGCGTTTGTACTGATTAAATATTAATGCATCACCAATTTCTTAATGCAGAAGTACCTGAAAAAAATCATACTTTATGTTAAAACAACCCTGATGGAATTCTTTGATTTGAATAATTCTGATACTTCATGAATTTGAAGGACATAAAAGTATATTGAGCCAAAGGACTCTGGAAAACTCAGGAGGAACTCAAGTATTTTAAGTATGGTGATGATGAGGGAACTCATTTCAGTGCAAATATTGTGGTCCGTAATATTTGAGTATTTTGCATTGTGTGGGATCAATTTATGACCTTAAGAACCTGAAACTGTAACACAGCACTCCGATGAAAGATTTATTCCTTCAAAATTAACCGAAAATCTAAATTTGCTTTAAAAATGGCAGAGGGAGCTTCATTTATGATTCAGGCATTAGAACAGGGTGGTGGTTTCCATCTCCAGCTTTCACCCGGATGATTTTTTATTCTCATCTGTGACACATCCTTTTCATTGGTGCAGTTGGACTCTTTCTTATTCTGAATCTCTAGGAAACTAAAGGGCAATAAATACTAGAATGACAACTCATGTAGGACCTTAACATATTCAACCGAGTAGTGCCAAAAATAATGAATAATTTTAAATTTTATAATTCTTAAATTTGGGGAAAGAAATGGAAGAATAAAATGTGAAAACCCTTCCACTAATGTGATATAACTGTTTTTAAGATTTGGTAAATTGCTTATATTTTTGTACGCAGCAGGGTTTCAGTTACACATAGGATGTCACTCTCTCTCTCTAACTGAAAGTAGAGAATCTAGGGAATTTGCTACTGTAAGAAGAGGCCAGCCTTGGCTTCTCATGAACCTGTACTCCGATCTGGGCTCTGCCTTTGGGTAGCTAACCATTTAGTTTTCCAGGACTGGATATTTTTCATGTATAAATTAGGAGTTCTAAGTGTTCTCTTTCAGTATTGTTATACAATTATATATTTGCCATAATTATTAATTAGAGTGTATGCTAAACTGCATAGGGCAGTTCTTGGCACATAGTAAACATTCCATAAATGGTGGCCATAAAACTAATATTGGCAATAATTTTATTACTTTTTTTTTCAAACTCTTTCTTATCTTATTATTATATAACCATTTCTAAGGGCTGCTTGAGAAACCAGTTCTCTGATTTTGAAAATGATTATGTCCAGGGTAGATAGCTGTTCCTTTGGTCTGTAGTTATCCACTAAAAAGGGATCTCAAGTGGGAATTACAGGGTTAAATGGGAGAATAGATAATTATAGAAAATCTATATTGCTAAATGCTTTCTGAAAGAGTTGTGCCAATTTACAGTGTGTAATTCGGCGTGCTACTTTTACCACACTTGCAAAATTATTGAGTTTCTTTCAAATTAGTTTTCCTATTTTTCCACAGGATGGATATACTTTATTTTTTAGCAGCTTTATTGAAGTTTTGCTATTTTTAATAAGTGAAGAGTGACGACTTATTTTAAGTACTAGTTTAAATATTTCTCTATCTATATTTTCATGTTCTTTTTCTTATTACCTTACTTTTACTATATAGACATTTAAAAAAGCTTATATATTCAGATTCTTGGGATTTGTATGATTTTATGATTCTTTTTCTTCTGTGGTTCCTAAAAAGCCTAGAAAACTGCCCTTCCCCCTCCCCACCTAGAAGTTTGATAGGAGTTAATTCTGTTTAGTTAAAAATACGGTAGGGTTTTTAAGGTGCTGTCCTTCATTTCATCTGTGATACATGATGTGATGAGAAGATGGATGTTTATTTTTCTTCAAATACTAAATGGTGTTCTTTCAACATCTCCATTGACCATTAGGATCTCTTCTTCATCTTGATTTTGGACACCTTCATATCATCACATTTATATTGAGTCTGGGTATGACTATTTAGTCCAAAGTTTTTTGACCTAAGAAGCATCAGGACCAGTCATTCTAGAAGACTTTTAACAAGATGGTGCTAGATCTTTAAGAGAGTTGCTTGAGAGACAGGTGGGAGAATGAACATTTGAGGGCTGTCCTTTCTCACTTTATGACGGTGATTCTACAAGAGCAAAAAGACCCAAAAAAGGTACAATGGCAAGTCAAAATATTCTTAATACCTGACCCCAGTCCACTATCCTTATAGCCAAAGGTGAAGCTGTGTTTTCTGTTGTGTGGTTGTGGATCATAGTTTCTCCCTGTTTTATTCTGTTATAACTAGATAAAGGATTCATTAATATCTTCCCCATGATGAGTACTACAATATTTGTAAATGATGGAGAGAATGTGGATCTGATTGTTGAATATGAGGCATATCCCAAACCGGAGCACCAGCAGTGGATCTATATGAACAGAACCTTCACTGATAAATGGGAAGATTATCCCAAGTCTGACAACGAAAGTAATATCAGGTAAGAGAAGAGCCTCGCACTGGGGATTAGACATTTCTCCCCACTTCCCTTCGCTTACCAGATCCTATTTTTGTGGCCCATAAGTGTGTGAGAGGACACCTGGCATAGGAGGAAGTGTGGGGCTCCTTCCTGAGTCTTCAGGCCAGTGTTTCCTTTTGTGTTGTGTTTAAAACCCGCACAAAAAGTCTGTGCATCAGTTTTCACATTTCTGATATGGAGGATGATTGAAAGCAGGGAATGGCATATTCTAGGGACACATTAAATTATTTTTCAGAGGAAAGAGGAAAGTGAGTGCTTTGAAACCTTTTTTGAAATACTGTCAGGGGCACCTGGGTGGCTCAGTGGGTTAAGCCTTTGGCTCAGGTCGTGAGATCCAGCCTTGCGTTGGGCTCCCTGCTCAATGGGGAGTCTGCTTCTCCCTCTCCCTCTCCTCCTCCCCCTGCTTGTGCTCTCTCTCTCTCTCTCTCTCTCAAATGAGCAAATAAAAATCTTTAAATAAATACAATCTTTAAAAATAAAAAATGAGAACTGTCAGAAAAAGAGAGGTGCCTGTGTCATTAAGCCTCTGACTCCTGATTTCTGCACAGCTCATGATCTCAGGGTCATGGGATCAAGCCTGGAGTTGGGCTCCCGGCTCAGTGAGGAGTCTGCTTCTCTCCTTCTCTCTCCCTCTGCTCCTTCCCACCCTGGCCCCACAGCTCACATGTCCTCTCTCTTTGTCTCAAATAAATAAATAAATATGTCCTCTCTCTCTGTCTCAAATAAATAAGTAAGTAAGTAAGTAAAACAACCAACTATATGAAAACTAAGCCTCATTCATTCAGTAGCTTTGGTCCAGGCAGTGAACTCCAAGTTCTATGACATCACACCTCTCTCTCTCTCTCTTTTTTTTTTAAGGATTTAATTTATTTGAGAGAGAAAGAGCAAGTGCACACAGCGAGGAGCCGAGGGAAACTTTAGCAGTCTCCTCCCTGAGCTCAGAGCCCATGTGGGGTTCAGTCCCACAACCCTGAGATCATGACCTGAGCCGAAACTAAGAGTTGGATGCTTAACTGACTGAGCCACCCAGGCGCCCCCACATCTCTCATTTGATCCTCAAGACATTTCTAACAAAAAACAGTAGCAATCATAAAATAGTAAAAAATAAAATGAAAATAGTAAGTAAAAATAAAATTAATAAAAATAATAAAAATTACAAAGCAAAAGCATAAAAGTAGCTTACTTTATGTAGGCTGCAGGTGCTCTTGCCTGCGCTGCACTGTTCTCAGTACCTTCCATATATTAAGTCAATAATTTCAGTCCTCACAAACCCCATGGACAGGCACTTTTATTCTTGTCATTTCTGAGAAGAGGAAACTGAGACACAAATGAGTCTTGATGTAACTTGACCAAGGTCAAATGGCTAACAGAAGTGGATGCCTTCATAGACTTTTTTTTTTTTTTCCCCAGTGAAGAGCTATGGGCTGTTGTAGGAATATGGGTGAGAGGTGAGGCTGTCCTGGGTCAAGGTGCAGGGGCTGGAGGGAGGAGGATGGATTCGGGAGGTATCCAGGCTACCTCTTTAGTAAGACTCAGTGATTGAGGGGATAGGAGAGAGAGGTAGGAGCTGAAGATACCCCTTCAGATTCTGTATTTATCAGCTACGTTGGATGGTGAGAGGTGATGTCTTTCAAGGAGGAGGGGGAAGGGTTGGGAGGGCAAAGACCATGAGTTTTTGGGGTTGGTTGAATTTGAGAATGTCCATGGGCTCTTGAGTGTGGACATTCAGGTAGGAAGTATCGAGGGCAGGTTCCCCAGAAGCAGAGCCTGAGACAGGGATTCTGGGTCAAGAGCTTCATTAAGGGAGAGGGAAGGCAGGACAGGAAGGGTAAAGGAGGAAAGAAAGGATGGATGGGTGATTGGCAGGCTGATCTCAGGGGCGCTCTCCAGAGCTTTTGTCCCTCCCCATGGGCAGTCACTCATCAGCCCTAGACCTAGAGAGGCAGTCAGTGTCCAAAAGGGGCCAAGTGTCCAAGGGCAAGACTTGGGAGGATGTTGCAGGTGTGAATCATTATAAGCTGTACCCATGAGGCAGGGAGATGCAGGCATGCAAATAGCTCTGTAGAGGATGCGAAGGACCGAGAGCTCTGAACCGGAGGTAAAGATTTGAAAGCTGTGAGCAAACAGCAAGGAGTTCATTGTGAGAGTGGATCGCTCGGGGGCGTGTGCATTGTGAGAGGAGATGAAAGTCTGAAGAGGCCACTGCGTATATCTGGGCGGTTGTGTATGTTGCTCACACGGGTCAAGGGCTGCCCAGGGCGCTCCACCCACACCAGTGCCCACGTCGGGAACTCCCTTGGCAGCCTGTGGGCTCAGTCTACACAGCCATATCTAGTATCATCCCGGTAGGAAAACAGAAGTTTGAATAGCACATACTGGAAAGGATGCCAGGAAGAAGAAGTGGGGGTGAAAGGAGAATTGGGAGATTATGATCTTTGCAAGAAGGAAGGTGAGGGTCCTCCACGTGGGCACCTGCTCGTCTGGGGGCCCTGCCAGGAGCACAGCGTTATAGGGCAGCAGGGTGGGTGAGTTCAGGACACCGGGGAAGGATTATGGGCAGAGGGGGACCTGGGCATGAGGACAGCCAGGAAGCCAAAGAGGCTGCGGCCTCCACAAGGCCACGAAAGCCTCTCCCCACTCAGCCATTGGGCCCAAATTAAATACATGCCTATAGGTTTGTATCTGTTAACATGGATCCTGTTAATACTGAGTTAAGTGCTTAGTCTGGTTCTTCCTCCCACAGGCGTGTGTTTCCAAGAGAAACTGTGGACAAGATGCTCACCCGAGGCAGGCCGTTCACGAGTGCTTGATTTCTTTTCTATTTTATCTTTTGTAGATATGTGAGTGAACTTCATCTAACCAGATTAAAAGGGAACGAAGGAGGCACTTACACATTTCAAGTGTCCAATTCCGATGTCAATTCTTCGGTGACATTTAATGTTTATGTGAACAGTGAGTAAAACGAACAGTCCCTTATCTTTTTATTTTTTATTATTTTAAGTTGTGGCTCGTGCTTGGAACAGCTGCAGCCCTGAGCTCGTTGTGTACTATGTAAATAATGTTTCATGATAATTTTGACCTTAACAAAGACCCTGTGGTTTGGTGGTTGGAAGAATGTGTACGAAAACCAATTCCTTGCCCTACATTTCACTGACCACGCGACCTTGCAGAGGTCACTCGGATTCCGGGTGCTGCCGTTGAAGCAAACAGAGGAGCCAGAGAAGTTAAAAATAACTGTCATGTCAGGGGGGGAAAATGTATTATTATTGATTGTTGAAATGGGGAGCCAGAGGTTGAATAGGACCTGGATTATGGTGTTAGTTGGGCAAGAGATGCTATCAGGCTCCGTCATGATTTCTCTGTTAGAGCGCTTTCTCTTTCAGGGTTGTGATATTATTTGTGTTGAGATTGTTCTCTCACTAAGACGAATGCAGTATCGATCCAGCTCAACGAGACCCTCCTGCAAAGCGTGTGGGGACTGTGGGAGAGGGAGCAGGTGGTTTGGGCGGGAGGATGGCTTTGGGCGTGGGAACCTGAACACCTGAGTCCTGCCCTGCTGGACTGTGGCCCCTGCAGCATCTCAGAGAAATGGCTTTGCACAGAGGTTGAGGCCAAGGGAGCATGCTCGCCAGCTGGGGGGGCTTCTGCTCCGTGCAGGGCACCCTCCTGGCTCTACTCTAGGGCCCATCTGCACATCCAAGGAAGGACAGCAGGTGTCTGACACACCACACCAGCCAGGGGACCAGGGGATGGGAGGCCTCCACAGACACAGAATTCCAGGGGAGTGGTCAACAACAGGACCATTGGGATTAGCCATCCTGGGTGTGTGTTGGGAGGTGAGGGATTAGGAGACAATCTGGAACATTCCCTAGGGGATAGCTTAGTAACTGTGCTGAGTGCTTCGTGGTGTGTGCGTGTGTTGGGGTGCAGGAGGGGCTGTGGGAACAAAGGATGGGTGCCAGTTTCTTGTCCTCAAAGAGCTGACCTTCTGTGAAGTCATTTTACAAGTTACTTCATTGGTGCTGCAACTCAGCCCTACGGGGTAGGGGTAGCATGATCCAGCTGCAAATGAAGACAGAAAAGTGACACTCAAGGCTTTGGATTCCTAATCTGGAGTCTTTTAACTCTGTCCTCATTTCCAAGAACAAGAGGGTCATATCTGTGGAGCTAAATAAATTTCTTAACTATAGACCTTGCCAGGATCCTTAAAATATCTGTGGAGCTAGACAAATTTCTTTCTTTTTTTTAAAGATTTATTTATTTATTTATTTATTTATTTATTTATTTATTTATTTATTTATTATAGACATAGAGAGAGAGGGGCAGAGACACAGGAGGAGAGGGAAGCAGGCTCCATGCAAGGAGCCGGACCTGGGACTCAATCCTGGGATTCCAGGATCGCGCCCTAGGCCTAAGGCAGGCACTAAACCGCTGAGCCACCCAGGCATCCCCTGCCAGACGAATTTCTTAACTACAGACCTTGTCAAGATTCTTAATGTGCCAGGAGGAGGCTGTGGGATGGGGTATACAGCTCAAACTTGTTTGACCACAGAACTTAGCTTTTTTTTTTTTTTTTTTTTGAGGGAATCATACTCATTAACGTCTCCCTTCCTCAGAACAGTGTTGATTATATGGTATCTCATTGGCCTGCATTTCAAATAGCTCTAGATTAATTCAGATGTTAATCAGAGGAGCTTAGCATATCGCACATGGGCAAAATTACCTGCTTCTGAAAAATCTCAATATTCAAGTAACTTAAGAGACGATTACAGGTAAATCAGTATTCTTATGAGCCGAATATGCATATTATCCACCCAAAACTGGATTTTTGGGTGCTCTAGTGCAGTGCTTCTCAATCTGTCTATGGGAAAGGACCTTTTTTTTTTTAATTTTCCAAGTTATTCGGGATCAATCCTTGCTACAAAATACGGTAAGAACCTATCACTAGGAAAGTGAATTGAATAAGAATAGAGATGTATGCAAAACCCAAGTTTAAATTTTTTTTTTTGTTTTTTTAAGGAGATTCCATAGATAGACTGTCTGGATGCTCCTGCTAAATGCTTCTTGTCAGCTGCACCTCATCTCTTTGCGGACCAGTAACAGCAGATCATGCCCCTGGCCTACTCCACAGGCCTCACTGCAGCCCTTCTTGGGAGCGGGGAATTTTATAAAGCTCAGTGCCATTTGCCTCTGTCTTTCCCTGGCTTCAAGGTCAAGGAGGCTGTGGGTCACTGACCTTAGAAAGATGTCTCTGAAGTCCCATTTTTCTGGTGACAAAATTGCTGCAATTTTACTTACCAGGCTCATTTTCCATCCCGCACGATTGGTGTTAGTCACCTCTGCTGGTGAACTCCTGCCTCTTTGAAACTAGATAGGGAACCACATTAAGCTTCCCAAATGATTTTTTTTTTTTTGGAGGGGGCGGATTCCCTATTGGGGCAGGACTTTGTTTATTCGGGGGCCCAGGTCTCAGATGCCCACCCAGCATCAACTGATGAACAGCTGCTCCATGGCACTGGGCACACAGATAAGGGTGGTTTAGTGTCTCCCCACTTAGGTGAAGTTTTTCAGGAAGTCTTTCGTTGCTGTCAGTTTGTTATAAACCCTTAACTGACAAAAGGCATTTCTTGCATTTACCTAACACATTGTATTTCTTGAGCTCCACATGCTTTGACAGAGGTGGTATTTTTTGTGTGAAACTTAAAAAACATCTACCTCTTGTGAAGTGTGTCCAGTCGCTCTTTACAGATGAAGTTAGCTAATAACTTTGTCGATTTTTTTTAATTGGATAAGGTTTCTAATGTTACACTTTAAAATCAAAAGCTAAAAATAGTTTTGAAATTTAAAATCGGAGCGGTTGTGTCCGTTTTGACATAACATTTCAGCTGAGCCAAGTAGATCCACTGTGTGATTTGTTCTGTAAATAAGCTTAGCCCCAAGGAGGGAAGGAATTCTGCTGTGCAAAAATTAGAATTGATAAAAATCAGAATAATAAATGCATAATATTAGTGCAGAAATTCAGTGACTTTTCCTCAGTGACATTGCTGCATAATTGCTTAATAGATTCAACTGGGAGAAATGCTTATGAAAATCCCCGATTTTGAATGGTTAAATGTTTGATCGTTGAAAAATTCATTTGTTTTAGAAACTCCACATGTAGATTTGAGTACATTGAGCATGTGCGTGTACATGCGTATGCGTTTTAATTGCTTATGTGGGAGGCTTTAAAAAATACCATGTTCTATCAGTTTGTGTTAGAGAAAAATGTGTAGCGTATTAAACTTGATAATGTTTTAGGTCTGTTTTTAACTCCTCTAACCAAGCTATGATTTACATGGGTCTGTTAGTTGGCTCCATGGCATTAAAGGTGGTGTATAAAGGGCAAGAGCTATATGACATGTTTGCTGTTCTTGAGCAGAACTCCCAGTGGAAACTGATGGGAGTTTTTGGGTTTTTCTTTTCTTTCTTTCTTTTTTTTTTTTTTTTTTTTTTGGTTTTGGTTTTGTTTAGAGAGAATGAAAGAGAGAGTGTGTGGAGTTGAGGTTGGGGCCAGAGTAAGAGGGAGAAAGAGAACCTAGAGCAGACTCTATAGCCAGCACGGAGCCTGAAGCGGGGCTCCAATCTCATGACCCTGGGACCGTGATCTGAGCCAAAATCAAGAGTAGGACTCTTAGCCAACTGAGCCACCCCAGGTGTCCCCCCACCCCACTTTTTTTTGGCTGGGGGGAAGGTGGGGCGGAGTTTTCATTAAAAAAAACAAACAACAGGGATCCCTGGGGTGGCGCAGCGGTTTGGCGCCTGTCTTTGGCCTGGGGCGCGATCCTGGAGACCCGGGATCGAATCCCACATCGGGCTCTCGGTGCATGGAGCCTGCTTCTCCCTCTGCCTATGTCTCTGCCTCTCTCTCTCTCTCTCTGTGACTATCATAAGTAAATAAAAAAAAAAAAAAAACAAAAGCATTGAATTTGCATTACTATAATCACCTACTTATTGAAGATGTATATAGAAATCAGGTTCTGGGACTCCTGGGTGGCTCAGTGGTTGAGCGTTTGCCTTTGGCTCAGGGTGTGATCCCGGAGTCCTGGGCTCGAGTCCCACATTGGGCTCCCCACAGGGAGCCTGCTTCTCCCTCTGCTTGTGTCTCTGCCTCTCTCTCTCTCTGTGTGTCTCTCTTGAATAAATAAAATTTTTTAAAAAATTGAATTAAAAAAAAAAAAGAAATCAGGTTCTTAGTTCCAAAAAGAAGTGTGAGGGGCACCTGGGTGGCTCAGTTGGTTAAGCATCTGCTTTTGGCTCAGATCATCATCTTGGGGTCCTGGGATCCAGCTCGCGTCGAGCTCTCCGCTCAGTGACCAATCTGCTCCTCCCTCTCCCTCTTCATCTCCCTCTGTGGTCTCTCTCACTCATTCTTAAATAAATACATAAAATCTTTTTTTTTTTTAAGTTTGAGATCTTTGGTGAAATTGGCCATTTGTTTCCTTTGCAGATCAAAATTGGGAGGAAAGAGTTCTAAAATCTATAGAGCTACCCAAACGTGCTTTCTTGTTTTCTTTTTTAAAAAAATATATTTAGCTACAATGACATAATATACATGATAAAAGTGCTTTCCTAATAGGACCTACTTTTTCTAAAATTCTTAGAGGTATTAGAAAAACCAACACCACCAAGGTTCTATATGTAGCCTATGATACTTGGTTAGAAATCTATGGTCTCTTTGTTTGCAATAAATGTCACACAATTGAGGTTTTTACCAGATCCAGGACACATAAAAGGCCAAATGCACATTTAACTCTAAGTGATCCACTCTCTCTTTTCCCTCCCCACCCACTATTTCTTGATTAAATCTCAAACGTTGCAGTGGACTTAAATGTTAGTAATGTACATATTTAAGGAGTTTATTTTGACATAGAATTTTAAATGCCCCATGTGAACCCTGAAGTAACCTACATGAT